TTAAGTCAAAGGGCTTGACAGTAACGGTCAAATAACATTCTCGGACATTACTGCTTTGAAAAATCTGTTTCACATTAATGAGAACAAACTGTTCCTTTATATAATTTCTTCTGAACTTGCAAAACCTGACTCCAACCTTGTCCCTGACAAAGGTCACCAAAGAAGCCCCACTAAGCATTAATTCACACAGAGGCCTGAATAGTTTTAAGGGCAACAGTTTCCAATGGTTTAACTTTAAAATCAGTTAATAAAGAGATTTGTATATGCATACGGTGTCTCTGGAAGGATACAGTATGCTATAGGAAAATTGACTTTCTGGAAAGGAGGACTGGGGAACTGAGTAAGATGGAAAGGAGAGTCAGAGGTGGGAGAGACTCACTTTTCACTGCAAACTTTTTTGTTTAAAATTCTTTTGCTGTGCTACTTCTTTAAAAAAATGTTTACTAAGAACGACTTCTGCTATTTTACAATGTTTCTAATTTTTACTAACATTATTTTTTTTAAATCATAACTTTTTTTTTTTTTAATTAAAGGTGTTTGTTTAAATTGGTAAAACAAATGAATAACCATCGGAATAACAAAAGACGTGTCTTGGGCTTGGCAAAATCTCATTCTAGGCTGGTAGTATCATTCACAGATACATATCTCCTGGGAAAATTCCAGGGGACTCAGGATGTAGTACCTCTAATTAGGAGCACGCTAGTGCTTTATACAACCATACCCCTAAGTTACCACATCTTTAATTATTAAGGAAACTTGGCAACCTCTTCTCTTCAACCACACCATCATCCCTCTGTGACAACCACACAGACTGATCTCTTAAGTAGAATTGTTACCAGCAACACAGACTCGAAATTGCTAAAATATGATTTGGCTGACACATCATTCCCTAACTTGGCATCTTCCATTAACCACATCACATCTCCCTGTAGTGACCTCACAGCTTTCAGAAGGAGCCATTCAAATAGCCTCAGCACAAGAGTGAGAAGATTGCATTTGTGTGTTAAAATAATTTTATTAGTACTGTGGAAGATGAATGAAGTTGGGGTAAGGTTACACTGATGTTGAAGGCCTGTGCTCTAACAGTTACACTGGAGATAAATTAGAGATGCATTTCAGGAAGTGGCACAAGCAGGATTTGATGATTTTACGAACCTGATGTGTAGTGTGAAGGAACAAAAAGAGTCTGGAGTGATATAGAGGTTCGTAGCTCAGCAGCATGGGTAGATAGCACTGCTAACTGATTATGACAGCAAATGAAGAAAGAATATCAGAATTAAAAAGGGCTTTAAAGTAAACTATTTCAGAACATGTAATTAATTGATTCATTACTACAGTAAATGTGATAAAAACTATATCTGGGGCATCTTATTAGTTGCTAAGTTTATTAAGATGAACAAGAAAGATACAATCTGTGTCCTCATGAAGCTTCAAGTCTACTGTGAAAACGAACGGACCTCTGCTGCTTGCAGCATACTGAGTTAGATTCTCTGAGGAGTCTGGTTGCTACAATATGGCTAGATTCTGGATAAAACATGCTTCTCATGTATTGCTGGGGTTGCAGAAAGAATAAGAAAACTCTAAGGCACCCTCTCCCCTAACCACCAAGAGTCACAAGAAGCCACAGTAGGATGTAGGGAGCAATAAGCAAACCCAAATGGCAGAGTTGCCCTGAGAATAAATATGGTATCAGCTTAGGAATCTGGAGACTAAATCCAAGTTCACTGACATGATAAGGGATGTGAACTTGAAACTCATAATCCTCAGAATCATGTAAGAAGACTTAAAAGTTCCAGATTAGCATTAGTCCCTGCAAAAGAAAACACATATTCCCAAAAGAAAATATCCTTAGTATACCACTCAGGATCTAAGATCAATTAAATATGAGTTCATAAACAAACACAGCTGAACTCACAAGAGACCAAGCTATCTTGAGTAAGAGTAATCAAAAAGAACTAACTCAATGCTTTAGAACATGAGATACTGGAATTACTACTCTATTTCACTGATTGGAATTTTTTTTCTCTTTTTTTTTTTCCTTTTGTAGCCCATTCTGAACATGGGATACATCTTAACACTTAACACTGGGTCATAATTTAACTGGCGATGTGTTTCATTTCTTAGTTGAAATAAAAATAGTGGTCCATTTTATAATTAATCGCATATTAGATTCTAAATGCTTAAATATAGTAATCAGATATGGAATAAAAATAGCTATGTAAATCAATGGTGAAATTAAAAATACACACAAAATAAGATGATCAAAATGACCACAAAATCATTTTTCCAACTTTTCTGAATGTTTGGGAATTTTCATCATAAAATGTAAAACCAACAAATTACCAAAAAGTAAACAAGAAAAACTCAATTACTGAACATGGCTGAATAGAAAATGAACTGAGTGCTAAATCAGAAAAAAATCACTCAGAATGCAGTAAAGGAACAAAGATAATAGAAAAAAGAAAACAGAGGTTAAAAGATACGGGAAAAAAATAAGAGTTTAAAACACATTTAGTTGGAAAATCTGAAAAAGAGAATAGAAAGAAGGGAGGATAGGCAACATTTGAAGAGATAATAGCTGAAAATTTTTCTGATTAAAGACATTAACCCATGGGTAGCAGGAACAGACACATACCAGGCAAAATAAATAAAAGAAATTCACACCAAGCCATATCATAAAGAAACTGCAGAATAACAAAAGCCAAAAGAAGATCTTAAAAGCACGTAGAGAGATAAGACAGAACACCTATGAAGGAACTACAATGGCTCTGTGCCATTCAAGGTATGGTATACATTATTCATTTAATCCCATAACAATCCTAAAAGGTACATGGCATGAATCCCATTTTTATAGATGGGAACCTGAGGCAGAAGGAGGTGAAATATCCGCCTAAAGTAAAAAAACAAACAAACTAGCAAATGGTGGGAGATAATAAATATCTCTACCACCAAATGGTGAGAGATAATAAATATCAACCCAGAATTGTACATCTATGAAAATTCTCACTCTAAAGGCCTAAACTTAAGAGCTAAAACTGTAAAACTTTAGAAGAAAACACTGGATAAATCTTCATGACACTGAATTTGGATATAATCTCATGATTATGACGTCAAAAGCAATGGCAACAAAAGAAAACAGTAGACAAACAGAACTCTTTCAAAATTAACAACTGTTGTACATCGAAGGACACTACCAAGAAAACGAAGAGATAACCTAGAGAATAGGAGAAAATAATTGCAAATCAAGTATCTGATATATGTATGTATCCAGAATATACCAAGAACTCCTATAACTCAACAACAACAAGAAAAAAAATCTTTAAATGGGCAAAGGACTTGAATAGACATTTCATTTCTTCAAAGGTGTATAACGTCATCAGTTTTTAGGGAAATGCAAATCAAAATAGCAAACAGGACACTTGTTTATAGTACAGGAGCTCAAACAAGAAGGTAGAACATTGCTTTGTTAGACTGCAAGTAGGAACACGTGTATAAAGTGACTGAAATTTTTTGCAGCTCTACATATGCCTGCAAATGGCCAATAAAATGGCTGTTGAGTACAGATTTGGAGGTTGCAAATACATTTTAGCAAGTATACAAATTTGCAAAGATGGAATACACAAATAATGAGGCTCAACTGTATAATCTAGACAAAATGTTAGATAAAACTACTTGAAATGCATTGCAGAGTAACAGGAAGCAGGAAGAAACTGAAGAAAAGGAATGCTTATCAAAAGAAATAGTTTGGAGAGAGTTTCCAATTTTAAGGCTTTTCACCTAAGGGCAGGCAGTGGTCCTTGTCAAATCAGAAAGCTAAAACATGAGAAAGTAAGTTGCACTCTTACTGGATTGAAGAACCAAAAGAAAAAGATCTGAGCTACTCAGCAACTGGAATGTAAGTGAGAAAATTCCAAATTTCATATTTAAACTCTGTCTAAATCCCCAACTGACCCCAGCTATGACTGAAAAAACTAAACGAATATTTTAGCTGACGTTTGCTGCAAGGAGGCAGGATTCAGAGGTTTTTCAGCCAAGTTCGCTGTCTTAAAACAACAAAAACTGGAACACTCTTTAGAGGAATACAGCAGAATCCAGAGCCTCTACAACTTATCCACAATGTCTATCAGGTCACAATCCAAAATTATTAGACATAAGAAGAAATAGAAAAACATCAGCCACATTCAAGAGAAAAGCTAATGAAGAAACTGACCCCCGAAATGACTGAGATGTTGAAATTAGCAGACAAAGGTTTTAAAGCAGCTATTAAAATACAAGGAGGTAAATAAAAATATGCTTGTGATGGATGAACAGATAAGAAATCTTTGTACAGAAACAGAAGCTATGAAAAAATACCCAAATGAAATTTCTAAAACAGAAAAATACAGTATCGAAACTAAAAAATTAACTGGAGCCTTTTAGAAACTTGCTAGCCAAAGATTTTTGGATGCTTGCTAGCTGGCTGAAAGAGATAAACACTCTCAAAATAAAATGTCATTTATCAACTAAGGCTTCAAATGGGATTCGAGATATCCTCACTAACCTACCTCTACCATATCACCAAAACAATTGGGATTGTTTCCTTAATTGTTGTCTTTCCCCTCCACTTGGACTATAAGCAGTAAGAGAAAAGGGGCTTTTGTCTGTCTAACTCCCTCTTCTATAGCTAGTACTTAGGAGTATGCCTAGAACACAATGGGTCTTTAGCAAATACTTGTTAAATGAATAAATGGCATCACTTAAGATCATACTTCACTTTGTATATTATACAAAATGAGGGTAAACATCCCAACAAAAGATATACGTTATATATTATTAACATCTAAAATATTAATGTTTTTATAGCTAAAGGAATTCTAAGATATAAGTTGGGTATGAAATATTTATACTTCAAACATGCATACTATATTTCATTCAAATGTTTCTTCCTCTTATATGAAATGAAAACCAAATTAATTTTCATTAAGGAAAATAAGATTTCTGACATAAAATAATTAAATCACCTGTCCTGCCAATTCCAGTCGTTTGTTACCATAATAATCTCTGTCGTCTACTTTATTATCTCCTTGGGCCAGAATTACTCTTCGCACCATCACTGCAGTATAGATACATTTGGCTCGGAAATTGAATTCCTTAACCTGTTAAGTCAGAAATTGGAGAAAATTTTTAAGAAAATGGACACTAAAATTTAATGTACCACAAGAAAAACATCAATATTATAACATTTAAGTAAGAAAATACTGAATTGTTATGATTCCCTCCATTCAAATAAATTCAACTAGTCTGGAAACTTCCTGAGCTGAGAAGATGACTTTTCATCATTGTCCTCAGTACCTATGAGTACCTTTGTGTCAAACATGACTATTGTCAACTTCTTTCCATCCTATATACTTCATGCCATTTCTTCATTAAAGGTGGAATCCATCACTCCCTTGGGATTGGCCTATGATTAGTTTAACCAAGAGAATACAGCAGAAATGATAACAAGCCAATTCCAGAATTCACTTTTAAGTCAAATGGCAGTTTCCTCTTCCTTTCTCTTAGAGTCCTCAGACACTACATGAGAAGTTCAGAACACTACTGTGCAGAGAGAGAGGCTACATTTCATTTAGTAAAATCTCAAAGAAACGGAAAATCAAGGAGGGGCCAGAGATATAAGTGAAGACGCCATCTTGAATGTGCAGCCCAGGTGAGCTTCCAGATCACTCTAGCCTCAGCTGTTATCTGTCTGCAACTTCGTAAGAGACCTGAAATGAGAACTCCCTCCTCCAACTGAAGTTAAATCCAATGGAACCACAGAATCATGAGATATACAATAAATAGTTACATTAAGCCATTAAGCTGTAGAACTGTTTGTTATGCAGTGATAACAAGAATTGTACTAAAATGTTGCCTGGCGTGCAACAAATATCTGCTGAATGAATGAACAGATGAATCAATTTGTAGCAAATGTTCTAGTCAATCTTCTCTAGTATAAACACTGAAATCCATATGAATGAATCTGGCTCAATCAGTAAGTTGACTCAGAATTGGTAAAATAATTGCACTGGTTTGTTTGGAGAGACAAGTAGATCCTTTCCCTACATCTAAAAAGGCAAAATTTGAGAATGTAGCCTGAGCTTCTGCCAATTTCAAGGAATATTTATAGGCTTTTCCACAGATGATACATACTATTATAAGATTTCCTTTTTACTTACCTTAATCATTTAGTAAAATCCCAATGAAATCCCTTTTATTAATTTATCACTATGACAATAAACAGATTGCATTACAAGAAAAAAAAAAGCAAGTAATCTCCTTCATACATTTTGTTGTTGCTGCTAAGTAATTCCACTAAATAATGTAGGATGTTAGAATTCTGTATGTGTTTCAAAAAACTCCATTTTCCTTCAAAGGAAGTTTTATTTCTTCTCTAGGTCAATTTACTCTCTATTACTGAGAACTCTGGAATGTGTTAAAAGAAATGTTTGAATGTGGTAAAAGAAAAAGTAGCCCTAAAAGCTACTTTGTTATCTTGTACCCATAAAACAATTACATCAATAAGAAGTTCTTTAAAAAGAAAAGTCTCTTGTCCATCCTCAAAAAAAACCCAAAAAACCCTGTATAATCATAACACCAGTTACCACAATACCAAGCAGAAAAACTCAGTGTCTGGGCAGCTATAAGTAATTTACAGTTTCAATTGCTGTATCAAAAGCTATATGATCCTCCATTTAAGTACATCTAATTTACATTTTATTGTTCTAATCTTAATGTGGCCAAGTTACATGAAACATCTAACTCTTCTAGTTATCTTTCCTGTTAATGATAAAAATGAACCAAACTTCCATTAACAAAATTTTCAATTTTTAACAAAGCCCATTTCACATTTTCCTTTTGCATAAACACTGGTAGATTCTCTCAAGATGTTTATAAGTAGAAATAAATATGGATATTTATGGAAAATGCCCTTACTTAACTGTATAATGCCAGTCCTTGATTAGAGGTACAGTCCATCACCCCCTTGGGCTTGAACCCCAACTCATTTCACTCCCCTTTTTAATGACTATATGCTGAAAAGCAAACTCTAGGTCTAACCTGAAATGAGTTAATTTTTCCAGGACTGTTCCCAAAGTCACAAGGTGAGTGGGGATTCTCTCAATCTAGTGGCTGATAAAACTTTTTGGGAGAAAGCAAAGAGTAGTTTAGATACTCCTTTGTAGGATATTAACCTGTGGCTTATCTGAAAGAGGGAGAGAAAAAAGCACTAAAAATGAACCCAGAACGCTGAAACAGAATTGTTGCCTGTTTCAAAACCCTGGGGACCTTTTAATATTACGTTGGAGTAAAGAGTGGTCTGGGACTTAGGCATCTTGGAGCTTAATCACCCTTAGAGCAGTGGTTTCTAAATTTTAACATGCATTACAATCATCTGGAGGGCTTGTTAAGCAAGACACAGGTTGCTAGAACCCACCCCTAGAGTTTCTGATTCAGTAGGTCTAGGGTAGAGTCCAAGTATTTCTTACAAGTCATCCAGTGATGCTGATGCTACTAGTACAATGAGAACCACAGTCCCCAAGGAACTGATATCAAGGAACCAGGATATCAAGACCAAGGGCTCTTCTGCAGTAATAGGTTTAATCATCTTTAAACAACCAATTTTAAGCTAGGCTTCATTCTATGCAATAATACCATAAAATCACATACACCACAAAAATAGATTTGATCTGCTAGTTGTATTCTTTCTAATAAGTGCTTAATTACTTACATAAAAAATGGCCCTGTATCACTGAAAATCATCCTACACATATCACACTTAGGTAAATAATGTCCTAAACAATTTTAGAAAACGAAGATCTTTTCCCTGGTCCATCTATTCTGACTTTATTCCTCACTGGATTGTGTATAACCAAGCTTTTAAAATGGTAATTTAGGCTCCATGCAACCACAGAAAAGTGCAAATGATTATCTTTATCAGTCTAGATAAACAAATGTTAGTATCAGCAGGACTAACTGATACAGAAGAATGTTTCATTAACCCAACATTCTTCTCAGTTACAGTATGAAGGTAAGTGCAGCTCCTAATAGCTACATGGGGAGCTGTGCAAAATATAGAACTTTATGTATATTATATATCGGAATCATCACAGAAACCCTGTGAGAAAGTGGAATTACTTTTATCATAAAAAGAGAAAAGTGAAGCTCAGAAAAGTTCAGATTTGCCCAAATTTAATCAGGTAGGAGGTAAGACACCAGAATTTGAACAATCAGATCTCAGGCTCCAAAAGCTCTTATCGTTTCTACTATCATTTTTGCTATTCTAAGTTTCAGACTCTTTCCAATCATCCAAAAGAGCTTAAAATTCAGTTCAGACCGAGGTTTAGCATTCAGAATTTTCTAAGTTTTTGGATTAAATCAAGGATGCGCACAAATGGTAGCCAAGGGGCAGAATGAGAGACCTGTATTATTTGGATTGAAAGGTGTTTTAATACAGGAAAATCAGATCTGAATGCGTTCAGGTGATTACTCTTGACTTCCACAGATCCTTTGACCTTCCATTATTTTATAGTTAGCCCCTGAAGGTAGTGTTTGCAACTCTTGAATTAGATTATTCATGGATGGAACACATGGTAACTCCTTACAAACCAGACTATTTAGTTAACAAGATAATCTTAACAAATAATAATTCTATAACTTAGGAAGAGTAGCATATACATTAAGTGGGAAGAAAATTGAGGGCTGCTTCTTACTAATATCACACATGCCAATATGGCTGATCTCTGTTTAATAATAATAATAAATAAATATTATATACTAGTTCAAGGGTCAGAAGATAGGTTCTAGCCCTTACTCTTACTGCTAACCAGCTGGGTGATAATGCAAATCATCTAAGCATGTTTGGATCAGGGAATCTTCACAGTAAGTGAAGGAAGTTGGATAATGTAAACTTTAAAATTCAAAGTCTAGAAGATGAACTCATCCAGTAAGCATTTTTAAAACTATCTGTTGTGGTGATGGTTGTACAATAATGTGAATGTACTTAAATCCAGAAAATTGTACACTTAAAACAGTAAACTTTGTTATACATATTTTACCATTAAGTATATTTTACCATACAATAAGCATAAGCATATTTTATATAAGCATATTTTACCATACAATAAAAAAATGTATGGGCAAGGCATGTACGCTTATTTTCATTTACTTAAAAAACATGTAAGACACCATCTCTGTCCTTCAAAACCATGAAATCTAGTAGCAGTACTAATATATGTATGAATATAAAAATAACAATAATTTAAGACTTAAAGAGCAACCACGAGAGAGTAAACATGATGATGGCGATACAGTTCACATTCTCTGAGTATCAATAAACTGCAGATAATGGAATATTATTTCTGGTGGGGCAGTACAGTCCTCCTTAGAATTTTCTCTTGAGGAATTAGACTTTAAACAAGGGAAACTCTTATCACAGTTCTTAACCGGAATTCACAGACGCCACAGTCATTATTCACAGTAACAAAGGTGTATAACTCACTGGGACATGGGTCAGAATGGTGGAAGCCAGAAGCTCTCTTGCTTCTTCTATTTTGGTTTTCTTTGGTCCGCCTCCCCACATCCTTTGCCTTCTTACTTTGTTCCCTATATATTTTAATGCCTATAAAAAACAGATTATAATAATGTTTGAATGACATCACTGGATTTAGTAAGCACCAAACCATACATACACTATGAGCAAAAGAGATAAAGACCCTGGTTATAGGGAACGCTGTACTGGGTCTAGTTGAAAATCAACATTTATCATAAATTAATGATAAACTAGCATAGCACCCTGTCTAATACACTGATTCCCTTTTTATTTTTTGTTTTCTTACTAAAAAATTGATACATTGTCATTGTAGGAAATTTAGAAAATACAGACACAGGTAAAATGTGTGTGTGTGTGTGTGTGTGTGTGTGTGTGTGTGTGTGTGGACATATAGCAGCCATCAGTCCTTCACCCAGAGAAAATCACAAATTTTATAGTAGTACTTTTTCCCTCTCAAAAATGAATCATATCATGTAAGACCTCTACACTGAAAGCTACAAAACAGTGCTGAGAGGAAACAAAACCTAAATAAACTGAGTGTCATGACATGTTCATGGATTGGATGATTCAATGGTATTAAAAGCGGCTTAATGTTAAAATTCTCTCCAAGCTGACCAATACATTCATAATTGTTAATTATACCCTTAGCAGGCTTAAAAAGCAAAAACTGATTAATTCTAAAATTCCAGATTCTAAGATTTACATGGAAATGCAAAGGGCCTGGAGTAGCTGGAACAACACTGAAAGAAAAAAGTTGGAATGCTACATTACCTGATTTTAACTATAAAGCTGCAGCGATCAAAAGTGTGATACCGGCATAAGGATAGACAAATAAATCAATGAAAGAGAATAAAAAGTTCAAAAATAAATATATACTAAATGGTCAGTTGACTTTTGATGAAAGTACCACAGCAATTCAATGAGGAAGGAAAAGTCTTCTCAACAAATGGTGTTGAAACAAGTATCCATAAAGCAAAAAATTAATCTTGACCCCTACCTCACAACAAATATAAAAATTAGATTAAGATGAATTTTAGACCTCACTATAAAAATTATTAATAAAACTATAAAGCTTTAAGAAGAAAACACTGAAGAATATAGTCCTGATCTTGGGGTAGGCAAGATTTCTTTAAACAGAACACAGAGAGCAATAAATATAAAAGACAAACAAATAAAAAACATCTCCTGAATTTTTTTTTAAATTAAAAGATAGAATTAAGAAAACAAATAGGGAGGCAATGGACTGGGAGGAAATACATAAAGCTAACAAGGAAGTTGCATCTAGCATTTGTTTTTAAAAGGACTCTGAAACTCAGTAATAAAAAGACAACCCACTAAGGAAAATGGACATTTGGCTCACACTCCACAAGAAGAAAACACAAATAGCCAATAAACACATAAGCAAGAGTTCAACATCATTTATCATACCACAATGAGATACCGCTATGTACTCATTAGAGTGGCTAAAATTTAAAAAACTGACAACACCAGATATTATGAGGACATGAAGCAATCAGTGCTTTCTATCAGGCTGGATGCAGTGGCTCAGGCATATAATCCCAGTACTTTGGGAGGCTGTGGTGGGCAGATCACCTAAGTACGGAGTTCAAGACTAACCTGGCCAACATGGTGAAACCTCATCTCTACTAAAAACACAAAAAAACTAGCCAGGCGTGGTGGCACACACTTGTAGTCCCAGCCACTTAGGAGGCTGAGGCAGGAGAATCGTTTGAACCCAGGAAGCAGAGGTCGCAATGAGCCGAGATCATGCCATTGCACTCCAGCCTGGGTGACAGAGTGAGACTCCATCACAAAACAACAACAACAACAACAACAAAAACAAAAAACCCCTCATATACTGCTGATAGAAATGCAAAATAGTACAATCATATTTTGGAACAAGTATATATAAAAGTTACGTACATATCTGCTCTTTGATTCAGCAATTCTATTCTTAGGTGCTCATCCATGAGAAATGAAACATGTCCACATATCCACACAAAGATTTGTTTATATAGTCTTATTCATAATTGCTAAAGACTGAAAAAAACACCAAGTGTCTATCAACAGGAAAACAGATAAACTGCGGGATATTCCTACAATGAAATACTATTCAGGAATAAAAAGAAATGAACGACATGGATAACTGACATAAAAAGGAATGAAAAGGAACAACTTGGATGAATCTGACAATAAGCTCAGCAAAAGAAGCTAAACACCGAAGAGTATATATGGTCTAATTTCACATATAAAGCTCTACAACAGGCAAGACTAATCTATGGTGCAAAAATCACTATCTATGGTGCCTAATTCCCTATATAAAGTTCTGTAATATGCAAAACTAACCTACGGTGCAAAAATCAGAGAAGTGAAGAAAAAAATCAGAGGGTAAAGGTAAAGACTGACTAGGAAGAGGCATGAGGGAATTTTGTGGGATAAAGAAATATTCTATATCTTATAAAGTCATACAATTAAGATTTATACATTTTAGTGTACATAAATTTACTTAAAATAACCAAGTAAGGGTGTCGACAACTTCTGAAGGTAGGCGTTGGATACATGAGTATTTATAACACTATTCTATGTACTTTGTATAGGTTGAAATTTTTCCTAATTAATAGTGTTTAAAGAAGAGCAGTATGTCGTTCTTATTATTTTGGAACAATGTACTCTTTTTTTCTTTTTCTTTTGAGACAGGGTTTCACTCTGTTGTCCAGGCTGGAGTTCAGTGTGTGATGCCAGTTTACTGCAGCCTCAACTTCCTGGGTTCAGGCAATTCTCCCACCTCACTCACTCTCCCAAGCAGCAGAACTACAGGCAGAGGCCACCATGCCCAGTTAACTAAAATACAATAAAAACCTTTGGTAGAGATAGGGTCTCACTATGTTGCCTAGACTGGTCTCAAACTCCTGACCTCAAGTCATCCTCCTGCCTCAGCCTCCCAAAATGGCAAGATAACAGGCATGAGCCACTTTGCCTATCCAAGAATGAACTTTAAAAAAAAAAAAAAAGACTTTCAGTTTAACAGAAGAAAAGGCTGGGATCTTTGATTCTTCATCTTGGAATTCCTGCCCAATTACCTGCTTGGGAAATTCCTTTTTCACACTTCAAAACCTAGATCAGGTATCACTTCTTCTTCGAAGGCTTTCCTAACCCCACTCCTCTTTCTCTGCAATTTTAATTCCTTATGCATTCAGAATTTCATAGTTTCATTCATGTTCACATCATATTATGTTTTAATGATCTATTTACATGTATGTTCCTCCTACTAGACTTTGTGGGTGGGAATTCTGTCATCTTTTTCTTTGACTCTCAATGACTAGCACAGTGTTTAAAATGGAACAAAACTCTGTCTCCATGATAAGATTTGGACTTCAAATCTAAATCTTTCCCATTAAAAGGCCATTAGACTGTAAGATAAACTAAGACCCTGAAAACACTTGCTGCAGTGAACTAGCAGTAAGTAGTAACTAAGTAACTGAAGAAAGCAGAACAGTTGGCAGGAACCGTAAGTAGACAGGCAGTTCGGCAGTTCAGCTTTCCCTAAACCAAGCTGTCTTCAATAAATTTTGGCCTTCTAGTTTCCTTGTGAAAAAGGCTAAGATTCTTCTCTTCTTTGAGGGGGAAATAGAGGAACGCAGGTGAGCAGGGTATCCCTTGTGATGCATGGGCCAAGATGACATGCCTAGTGTATCCTATCCCCTGCTAAAGCTAATACTTTCTTCTCTCTATACTAGAGCCCAAGATAATGATGACATAAAACATACATTACCAACACAGAAAGAAGGCTTCAGGAAGAGAAGAAATGTGAGAGACTACAAAGGGAGGTATTAAAAACAAAAAAACAAAACCCCACAGATTTTTTTTTTTTTTTTGAAATGGAGTCTTGCTCTGTCACCCAGGCTGGAGCGCAGTGGCATGATCTTGGCTTACTGCAACCTCTACCTCCCAGGTTCAAGTGATCCTCCTGCCTCAGCCTCCCAAGTACCTGGGATTACAAGTGTCCACCACCACGCCCAGCTAATTTTTGTGTTTTTAGTAGATGCAGGGTTTCACCATGTTGGCCAGGCTGGGTCTTGAACTCCTGACCTCAGGAGTTGTCCAGGCTGGTCACGGGTTTCTTTATAGCAATGTGAGAGCAGACTAATACAAAGTGTACTACTTACTGCAGTTTCATTTAGAATAGCATAGAACATTCATGTTTTCATGACTGATAATATGTGTTCTACATACCAACTATTTTGGATTACTTGCATCTCTATATCCTTTTGTTAGTATCAATAGCTAATGTGCCTTAATCCAGCATACAGAGTGCAAGCACTTTCAAAGTTACACTTCCCTTTTGAGGAAAAGGAACATTTGTCTTGCTTATGTTAACTTCCCTCCATCTTTTCACTAACCTGATTTAATTCAGTTAGCTGAAATTTTCTGCCAGAACCTATTTAACAGAATAAATGAATCATTTTTCAACCTACAGTTTGGGTCCTGCTCAAATAGCTTTACAATGTTAGGGTTATTTGACCCCAATGACGATGTTTAAAATAAAATGCATAATAATAATGGATTTCATTGAAGCCACTGGGGAACCATTAAGGTAAACTGCTCTTGTACAGCACTACACAGCTTTAAAGAATAGGTTATCTCCCAAAATGAAACCAATTATTCCTGTTGGCAGGGTAGATTCTACATTTTCTGCTTCTTGGATATTTCTTAATGTTTTCTCTTCATGTTCTTGGAACCGTTGGACAATATGACTTTAGTGTACAACAAAGATTCATGCCTACCAAATATTTCATTTTTGATAAGGCCAAAAATAGAATCTCCTAAATACAAACCATCCTTCCTGGTGCTGCCTTCCCTCTAACTGCAGTCACCTATTAATTAACTATAAAAAAAAAAGAGGAAGGCAGTGATAAGAATAACCCTTACTGATTTTGCTTTGGAATTACATATACTGACCTATTTCAATCTTTTAAAGTATCTAGCGTAGTCTACAAAAATATCAATACTGATTTGATTTCAGAATACAAACTAACATATATAACTGGGAAATGCTTTCTCTACAAGCATCCTGGGTGAAGAGAAAAAAGCAGCCTGGAGTTTACATATGTCATATGTTACCCACAAAATAGACAATGTACATGTGGGTAGGTAAGAAATGACTATTGCGGTTCTATAGTAGAGAATTCCCACCTCCCAGGATGGCTATGAGGGATGCTACCTTTGATTTATACTTAGGAAAGCATTTGCAAATATGGGACTAAAATCCTAAGTATGGCTGCTGGGGCTCCCTCCATGTGGGAAGGGAAGTATAATTATTTTTATTATGGTCTGTCTGTGTGTGTGTGTATTTCCCAATCTTCATCTTTGAGTCTTGTCCTAAAATTCCCAGGATCCAACCAGGAGTACCTAAGCAGGTCCATGAAGGCTCTGCAGTGGTAAAAGGGACTACTCCTGGGTTTTCCTTGCTGTCTAAAGCAGCACTGGGAATTCAGGAAAAGAAACAGAAACCACATACAACTGGATGCCTAAAGCAACTAAAGTAGGGAATAAAAAAAGATACTAAAGAATGCACATGCACACACGCGCACGGATACACACACACACCTACACACACACACACACACACACACACACACCCCCACCCATGTACACGAGAGTTGCCATAGTTAAAAAAAATATATTATCATTCAGGCAAATAAGGAAAAAAATAGTACTTTCTATTATATCAAAACAAACACCTCTTGGCCATATATGCCCATTCTAATTTAGGCACCACAGGCTCCTCATTTGTCTGGGCAAACTCCATCCTCCAACCCCTACAAAAGTGAGTTAAAGAAACTTCACTCCTCCCATCTCCCCAATACCTTTCCCAAATCTATGAGCCCAAAGTCATCAATCCGATGAGTTTTATCAATGAGTGGCATCAAGTTTCCAATTCCATTTCATAGCTAAGGACGACATGAAAAGACACACCTGCATCTGTGTGAAAATCTGAGCTTTCTGGCACTCTTCCAGACTGGGCCCAAATGCAGCCATCACGTGCTCCTCAGTTCCAATCATCTGCACAATTTCCTGGTCACTCTCAACACCCATGGCCTAGGAAGGAAAGAAAAGATAGAAAGAGTGCTGGCTTTGTGTTAACTCACTGACATTTGCTTATGCTAATTTGGCATTGTTTGTGGGTATTACTTCTAAGCAAAAGCTAGCTCTTCTCTCAGAAACGGTGCCATCTGGCATTGGCAGCCTTGCCCAAGCTGCAGAAGAACCTGAAACAGAAATTTTGATTAGAAAGTGAAAAACAAACATTCTCAAACATTTTTGGCATGTGTACTATCTGCTAAAATTTTTAAATACTCTAAGAGTTTCATCATGAAAAAAGGAGGCTGGGAGGTACAGTAAAGACAACCGGTCATAACTACGAAGGCAAACTGCAAAGAAACAACCAAAAGGCAGTGAATCTGAAAAGATGCATTGCTGAAAATAAGCAGAACCCCAATTAGTCTTGCCATAAAATTAATTTTTCTGAGAACCGTCTAATCACTCATATTTAGGCTAAAAGAATTTTTCCTAAAACAAGTTTTACCTCACTATTCTGGAGATATCAAACTATACTTCATGCAGGTTTTAAAGGAGACTTTTAAAAAGCAGAAGCACAAGGGTGCACAGTGGCTTATGCCTGTAATCCTAGCACTATGGGAGGCTGAGCCGGGTGGATCACCTGAGGTCAGGAGTTCGAGAACAGCCTGGCCAACGTGGTGAAACCCCATCTCTACGAAAAATACAAAAATTAGCTGGACGTGTTGGTGCATGCCTGTAATCCCAGCTACTCGGGAGGCTGAGGCAGGAGAATTGTTAGAACCCTGTGGGGGCGGAGGTTGCAATGAGCTGATATTGCACCACTGCACTCCAGCCTGGGCAACAAGAGCAAAAATCTGTCTCAAAAAAAAAAAAAAAAAAAGTAGGAACACACTTAAGAGGTTTCAGAAACCCACTTAAGTGTTTCAAGGTGGCAGCAGCAACACAGGTCTTTGTAGATTCCATATGGTATTAGGGCTCACTCCTTCACACATTTGCTTGGAATTCTGCCATATGAAGGAACACAGCATAATCTCACTGAATCTCTCTTGGAAGAGTAATAGCCTGCTTCTTAGAAGCAAGGGGAAAAGTTATGTTTGCATTAAAATTCTTACTTCAGCTGTAGAGAAGACAGAATCAGAGGATAATTGCCTAGTTAGTGTTGATGCCCTAGTTCTCAATTCTCCACACAAAAGACAAAGAAAGGGAAAATCAAATCCCAAGTTCTAATGCAGAACATGAAGGACATTATTCTGAGTACAACAGAAGGGCATCTATCTAAAAGTCAAGAGATTTGAGGTGTTCGTCCTAATATAATACCAACAACAGACACAGGCATTACAACTATTACCATCATGCAACCTCTTCGCCTCTATTTTCTCATTTGCATAAATGAAAAATCAGATCCCTTCCAGCTCAGAATTCTATGACTCTACATTCTACATTTGACCTTCAGTGGTCTGCATTATATAAATTTGATTTGGATACTTTAGGATCAAATGTAAACTTTTAGAAAGTTTTGAAGATTTGGGGGGAAGCTGAATTGATGCCATGTCTCTTTTAGACCAACTGTGGTGGTTTTAAAAATCTTCACAGATTCTTACACACCCCCTTCAAAAGGTAGAGACTAATTCCCCACCGCAAGTGTAGGCTAAGCTCAATGCCTCATTTCTGCAGGAAAAATGTGGAGGTGGCACGTACGATTACTTTGAAGGCTTGGTCATAAAAGGCATTATAGCTGCCTGTGTGCTCTATCTTGGAGTGCTCTCTCTCGGAGAAGATAGCTGCCATGTCATGAAAACATGCAAACTGTCTGTGACAAGGTCCAGTAGTGAGAAACTATGTCCTCTTACCAACAGCCAATGAGGACCTGCCCTTTTCTGTCAACTGCCATGTAGGTGAATTATCCTGGAAGTAGATCCTCCAGCCTGCTTCAGTTCAGCCTTCAGGTAACTGCAGCCCTGGCTGGTATCTTCTCTTTTTTCCTCTTTGGAGAAGGGGTCTTACTTATGTTGCTCTGGCTGAAGGCGGTGGGCATTCACAGATGCAATCATAGTGCTCTACAGCCTCAGGCTCCTGGGCTTAAGTGGTCCTCCCGCCTCAGCATCCTGAGTAACTGGGACTATAGGCACGTGCCACTACGTTCAACTTGCAGCTGACTTCCTGAGTCATGAAAGACCCTGAGACAGAACCACCCAGCCAAGCAAGTCTTAAATTCCCAACTAATAGAAGCTATGCCATAATTTGTTACACAGAGCAGATAACTGATATACCAACTTTTGGAATTAAATTCACTATCTAAATTTAAAACAATTTATTAAATGTACAACTTGTTTTGTTCCAATTTTTTTTGTTGTTGTTTAGCAAACAAGTTCTCAGGATGCAAACCCTTTTTCTACAGTTTTTGCAGTCTTTTTTTTTAACCTCCAATTTGATATGGCACATTATTCAAATGGATACTAGAAATAACTCCACTATTTAAAAATTATACAATATCATTAAAATACTTAGACTTTCATGGATTAAAAGATAACAGTCCTAAAAAATATTATCACTTCTAATTTTTAAACAAACAAACAAAACTAGATTATTCTTAGCTCAAGCACACTGAGTTGCATTTACTTGATGGTGATAGCATATGTGCAAAGCTATCTACACTTTCTCTTTGTTCTGCAAGTAGCCAGTCACAAATATTAGAACAGAATTCTCTTCTATGGTGTTTAAATGATAGAGGTTAAATATCCTTAATCTGAAAATCCAAAATACTCCAAAATCTGAAACCTTAAAAAAAAGTTGTGGGGAAGGAGGTTTTTTTGTTTTGTTTTGTTTTGTTTTGGAGACAGATTCTTGCTTTGTCACCCAGGCTGGAGTGCCGTGGTGGAATCTTGGTGCAATGCAATGCAACCTCTGCCTCCTGGGTTCAAGTGATTCTCTTACCTCAGCCTCCCAAGCAACTGAGACTACAGGCACTTGCCACCATGTCCAACTAATTATTGTATTTTTTTAGTACAAATGGGGTTTTACCATGTTGACCAGGCTAGACTCAAACTCCTGGCTGTAAGTGATCTGCCCACCTCGGTCCCCCAAAGTGCTGGGATTACAGGCATAAGCCACCGTGCCCGGCCAATTTTTTTAAGAGACAGGGTCTCCCTGTGTTGTCCAGGCTGGGGTGCAGCGGCCATTCACAGTCACAGCTGCAGTGCACTATAGCCTCAAACTCTTGGGCTCAGGCAATCTTCCTACCTTACCCTCTAAAGGAGTGCACTAAAGGCACACACCACCATGACCAGCTTCCAAAATCTGAAACTTTCTGAGTACAGACATGACACTCAGAGGAAATACTCACTGGAGCATTTCAGATTTTGGATTTGAGATGCTCAACCATAAGGATAAAGATAATGCCAATATTCCAAAAATTTAAAAAACTCTGAAATACTAAACACTTCTGGTCCCAAGCATTTCATATAAGAGATGCTCCACCTGTAACGAAAAGGCCTTTCCTCATTTGATGTATGGATTGCCACTTCGAGTTGTCCTAATGCTGAATCTAAGTGGTAATTTTATAACTGCATAAAATTCTCAAATGTCCTAACAGAGATCTAAACAGACTGCTTAGGCCCTCCAAATATTTCTAAGCTATGAAGCAAAGATATGCCAAGCACATGGTAAATGACACCATATGTGCAGAAAGCATGATTGCTGCCAAAGCTTCGCTCTAAAAGGACTAAACTCTTCCTATATCAAGTCACTAAATACAGGGGCAATAATTCAGTCAAGTTATCATCAAAGCGCACCAGCTGTAAAGACCAAACTGACTTTATGACTATTTAGCCTTCAGTTGTCACAGCTACAAATAAATGACATATTGCTATGGAAACGACAGCAAAATGCTCAGCCATTTTACTTTGAAGACATAATTTAGACATCTGAAAACTGGCTTTATATGGACTCTTTGTACTCCTAATATCTGAAATCATTTCTCGTAACTAATAAGTCAAAAGTAAATGCTATATAATAACCTTATGAAAAAGCAGCAGAGATAATACATTTCAACAGGTCACCTATACTCTAGTAATCAGCAATACCACTGAACAAAAATAAGGGCAGGTGTACTACAAAAGCGACATGAGGTCTTTTTAGATATCCACAAACTGTGACTTTTAAAGACAGAAAGAATACTAATGAGCAGAAGAGACTGACACAACACGCTAATGGTAATAGGTTGAAATATATTGCGTGAAGGTGGGAAAGAGAATAACTTCTTAAAGTATCTAATATTCAGAAATCTCCGATTTTGCTTTAAAGTAGACTAATCCCAGTGCTTTGGGAGGCCAAGGCAGACAGACCACAGGGTCAGGAGATGGGGACCATCCTGGCCAACATGGTGAAACCCCGTCTCTACTAAAAATACAAAAAATTAGCTGGGTGTGGTGGTACATGCCTGTAATCCCAGCTACTCGGGAGGCTGAGGCAGGAGAATAACTTGAACCAGAGAGTCAGAGGTTGCAGTGAGCCCAGATCGTGCCACTACACCCCAGCCTGGCAACGGAGCAAGACCCCATCTCAAAAAAAAAAAAAAAGACAAATTTCCATATAAGGTAATTTCCAGGAAACACTGCCCAGCACCCTTGAAATTTGATCCTCTTTTTGGAAAAAACTTTCAAACTACAGATGCCATCATAAGCGCAGGCTGCATACTTGGAATACAAAATGTAAAGAAGGGAAGATTCATTGGCAGGAGAACCTTTGTAGTGATTCAAGTCTATAAATAAGGCTGATCTATGTCTTAAAGGCTTTCTCCATCATATTCAGACTCAGCATGGAACCTGGAAACCCTGCTGTTCCTGTCACTTTCAGCCAATTGTTGGTTACAATCAACAACCATCAAGTCCTAATGACTGTCAAGGTCTATGTTAGGGCCACACAACACTCAAAGAGAAATGATGTGTCTTTTCTGGTATCCCCGTTTGTTTTCCCAGATTTCTGACCATAAAGAGATCTAAGGAAAGAAAAAGGACACT